GTTTTAAAATAATAAAATTTGTGCCTCCTCTTTTCTTTCCCACCTTGACTTTCTTCTTCCCTTTCATCTTCTCTTTTAATTTTTTCATGTTTCATGTGATAAAATCATTTAACAGCTTCATTAAAGATCAACGAAAATGTCTTTATCTTGTTATGCATTTTTCGATTATTGCGTTTATGATTCTGAAACATGAAAGAAATACAATTTTGATTTTTCAAGAATTTCAAAGATAATTAAGAAATATGAAATTGCAGGTGCTGCTAGCTAACGAGCGACAGTTTCATCGTGGATTGACGGATAATTCGATCTCCATTTCTTTGATTAAAACTGAGCGAAATTCGCAATCAGGTTACAAGAATTAGTTTCTTTCTATTGTTTCAATATTATATATTTGTGTTTTTAATTTATGAAGTTCAAAGGTGAGGATTCAAACTGCTATTCAACTGCAACACAGTCTTCCACAACAGCCCCAATAGGAGCAACGACTGCTGAATTATCAGGAGACCGCAGAGACGATGAAATATCAGTAGCAACCAGTTCCGTAACGAATACGAACGATGCTGCTCAAATGGATATTTATCGGGATTTGATACTGCGACATCTCATTCAGGACATAAATACAACATGTACCAAACTTGGACTACCAACAGGTCACTTTCCACTCTTTCGTTTTTTGCAATGTCAGAAAAGGCTTCCTAATTAATAATTATTGCATGTAGAATCATTGAGAGCCAAAAACAAATAACATTCTATGTTATACGTTGCGGTTCGAAATTCTCACACCGTTGTTATATGCTGGATATTTGGTAAGTGGCTATTAGTCTTTTAAAAAAGTTACAACTCAATTCATAATTCCATGGCAGTAATCATTTAGACATTGCACAAAAACCTTTTGTAACTTCATGGCTCCTTACTTTTGTAACTTCACGTTTTTTTTTTTCCTTCTTTTTTTTATAATCAAAAAGAAAGTATTACAAATTACGTCGCATCCTATCTTTTACGGATTAGTTTGTTTTTCAAATAAAACTTTACTTCCAATGTATATTTTGTAGCAGTACTGACTATATTTATACTTCGGTAGCAAAATCTTATAAACAAATATAACAGCTGCATTCTTAATGACTGCTGTTTATCGATGGCATTCGATAAGCAGCTGCTGTATAACATTGTTTACGGGTCAAAGCCACTGCTCGAACACCTGACCAGAACTGTTGAGTACCTTTTTGGGCTATCTTCAAAGGTCGTGACTTGTTTTAGAAATATGAAATATGGGTGTGATTGCGTTATTGTGGGTTGGACTTTCTTAGCATACAAACCAAAATCTTTATGAACGGACAGATGTTGGTTTATCTGTGTTACCTCCTCATTTACCTATTCTCCATCTGCTCACTGTGTTTTTTCCATAATCAATTTCCCTCCTTGATTTCTTCATCCTATACAAATAATTTTAAATTACCATTCATTTTTTTCTAACACTTTTTTATTTGTTAATTGAAAATGTTGCACGATTAAAAAAAAAAACATTAAAACTTGTAATATTCACAGCTGAAAACCAAGATGCTTACTTTTTATATTAGAGATTTTTTTATAAATTTCTTATATTTTATATTAGATACAAATAGCTAAAGATTACATCCACATAGAAATCATCTATTTTCTCATATTTCTTTCCTGTTTATTTGATAGAATATCATTGCAAATCAAACATTGAAAAAGTATGGATCATCAATAAGTTTAATTGTATGCTGTTTATCTGAATCCATTGGTTCGAAACTTCGTCGCATATCTTATCGAAACAATTGCTTTCACTTTCATGCGCTGTGAAGCTATAAATCAAATTTGGTACATAAAAAGTCTTAAAATCAAAATGGGTTAAGTGTGGAATAACTTTGAACGTTGTGGAGATAGAAAATTTTCTCTCTCTCAAAAATTAGATAGAAAATTTTCTCTCTCTCAAAAATTAGATAGAAAATTCTCTCTTATGCTCTAGCTTTGCAATTTCCATCAATTAATTTATACTTCGCAAGTTTTGCTTCTGATCTTATTCAAATACATCATGAAAGCTCTTATTTCAAAGTTAAAATCATTTGGAATGGAACTTTCATATTAAGTTTTTTTCAAACAGCAAAATTTTAAGATCCACAAGCGTGGAGTGCTGAGCATAGTGCCCGCTGGATGTCTGAAATGTGCGTGCAATTTCAACTTCCCCCACCTCGACAATTATATATGAACGGACGTACTCTGTTATCGATGACACAGGACGACTTTATGGTTCGAGCACCAGAAGGTGGTGATACGCTACATGCACAGCTACAATTATGGAAAACTGGTTAGGACGACATCTGAAATTTTATGTAAATGTTTTTGGACACAATGGCTTAAGTGTTGCTTTAAATTTTAGCACTTTTTTTAGCATATGATTCATACAGCCAGCAAAATAATAATAATAACAACAACAACAACAGTAACAGCATTAACAACAATAGTAATAGTAATAATAATAATAACAATAACAATAGCGGCAACAATCAAAACACCTCTCAAGCAATTCAAAACTGCAGTCGTTCCTCGCAATACTGGGTTTGTTTCTTATTTATATTCACTACATTTCTGAAAAAATTTTTAATTATATTATATTTCAACTTAGTCAGCAGTTTCAGTTTCTATTTCAAAATTAATTTCACGTTTTCAGCAACACAGCAGCAGCTTGTTTGTTGCACACTTTTTCTTTTTACCAGCCTTTTATTTGAGTCAGAATGTATTTGTATGATTGAAGATGGAAGATTTATAAGATCAAATCAGATTTTTTTAATGGCTATCCCTTACAGTGTTATTTAAGTAGGTAAAAGTGATCTCATGATTACTGGAAAAAAATCCGATTAAATGAACAACTGCAGCTTTCCTCTTTTACACCTTTTTCTTCCATATTTACATCTTTTATAAATTTTCTGCCATGAACATAAGAATATTATTTCAAGATAAATCCATCTCCATTGGCGCTGAATGTAACAGAACAAGGAGAACTGCTGACATCAGCACAAGATTATTTGAATAACTTCAATCCAAGCAACACCGAAGCGGCCATTAACATGAATTGTTATCCTAATAGTAAATGAACTATTATCCTAATATACAGCAATAATTTTTATCATCAAAATTCAAATCATTTTTCTTTCTCCACATTGAAGATTTTCTAGTTTTTTCTGAACAGGAAAACAAAAACATGCACTATATTTCCATATATATTTAAATAATGATTCCACTACATTTGTTAGAATGATTTATTTTAATTCAAAAGCTAAACATTTCGGCTACTTTTGAAATTTATTATTCAGCCGGATTTTATAAATTTTAGATGCATATCAAAACGTATCTCAAGAAGGAGCACTTCTTGGTAATGCCACTGTACAACAACAATACTATGCTTCAGCTCAGGTTGCTGGAATCGGAATTTTACCGAGCCCAAGTGATTCTGAGATATCCTCCAACGGCTCTTCAATGAATGATGGTAAAACTTAAAAAATTATTCTTGGATTGGATAAATAAAATCAACAAGGAAAATACAAAATCAAGATAAAACTATTGCAAAAAATGTTTATTGGCGAAAGAATAATTCAGTTTTCATAAAGTTCATCTTAGGTCTTAGGAAATTTAATCCATGAAAATTGAAGTAAATACTATTGATGGAACTGTCATTGATGCTCGCCAAACAGGCACACCGCAATTTCCACGGCATTCTGGTACAGTGCATCTTTGGCACTTCATTCGCGAGTTGTTGGATCATCCTAAGCAGTATAGCTCATGTGTTAGATGGGTTGATAGGCAGGAAGGTATTATTTTTAAGCTTTGCAATTCTTTTTGTTTGACTTAAATATAGAAGAACGCAAATTTGTGCAAAATAAATAAAAAAAAAAAAAAAGTGAAATAGAGATGGAGTCAATGTGCAATTTCAGGGACTTTCAAAATAGAATCATCACATCATCTAGCTCGTTTTTGGGGTCAGCGCAAAAATCGAGCTCAGATGAATTATGATAAATTGTCACGATCATTGCGACAGTATTACAAGAAAGGTATTATTCAGAAACCGGAGAAGAAGCAACGCCTTGTTTACAAGTTTCTTCCTCCATATAACTTGTAACTGAATTGTTCGTTGTTTTTATTTTGTCTAAATACTGTCTCAACGTGGACAGTAATCAAGTAATGGTCATTAGGCCGTCGACCTTTTTTGAGGTTTTTTATCACTATTAGTACCACGTAAAATAAACGGCAAGCAATTTTGTTCTATTTCCTTTTCCATTACCTGCTTATCCGCTGATCAAAATGATTGATACAAGTGGTATTTCAGAAGTAGAATTGATAAGTCGGAAAAACTCGTACCGCATAGATGTTTTGTATTTTTGCCTTTTTCAAGTATTCTTTTCAAGATTTTAAAATTGAGCTCATTTTCTTTCTTGTTATACGAATTCATTTCACTTATTATTGTGGTCTTTCATGGACAACAGCATTTCATCATAAACGAGCGTGCCTTTTTATCGTTAAGAATGAAATTCTTTCATAGTTATTTATCAGTAAGATGTTGCATATCTCTCACTGCCTATTCCTAATGAAATGCTTGTGTCTCTTAAATTATTATTCCCCGTTATTTAAACTGTATCGATTTCACTGATTACTCATTGGTTTCGTAATTCGGTGCAGGTTTACTATGCCAAGAAAAAAAAAAATGGACAGATTGCTGTAACATCAAAAGTAATCGATTACTTAATTGGTAAACTGAACTAAAAAATTGAATTACTTCCATATTTCTTAGTCTTTTTTTTTTTCTGTCCTAAAAATGCCTGATGAAATTAATGAATGTTAACAAGCTTGAGAATTGGTAAAGAAAAGAGTGAAGGCACTCCTTAGAAATTATTTTATGTGTTTTACCGATTACTGCTGAGCGACTGCTATCAGTTATGGTAGAAATCCATTTCCAATCCAAGAACTAAGTTTTGAAGATGCATTTATAAACAGCTCATTGGATTCCAATATATCTGCTGAGTAAGATTTCCGACTTCCAGAATACCGGATTCGGTTGGTGGAATTGGATGTGGATGTAGTTTTTCCTGAACATAAACCATATTGAATGAAAAGTTTTGGCTTCTTTCATAAGGTGCACAAATTAGAATAGATTGAGAGTCTTGTTCTATGAGGAGTACAAAAACATTATGGGACATTACCTCCACACAAATTTCCTTCAACGTGGGCATGGATATATTGCTCCGAGATTCCAGCTTATGAACTCGTAAATCATCTCTTCTTTCTGCAATTTTATATAAAAAAAGTGTTATTGTATCTTTAACTATAAAAGGCATCTCTACGACACATGCAGAATATGGAAATAATCAGACTTGGTCTGGTTATGATGCTGATTGGATAATCGAATTGGTGCTGGTCAGTATCCATTGTGGTGATACGTTGCTTACGGGTGTTTGTTGATGTTGTTGCCACCGTTGCTTCCGATATAATATCTTAAAATTAATATGATTAAATCTTTTCCAAAAATTATCGTATTTAGTTTTCATTCTCAAATCGTTACCTTTTATTGAAGTATCCTCCATATCTTTTTGCACCCTGTTTAGCGAACCATTTTCAGAGGATAATGTTTTGAGACTGTAATAGTAATGTATACAAGCAATATATATAATCATTCAAAGTTTCTCGGAAAAATTAATCTTGAGGATAATATAAGTCAGAAAATGCCATACCTCTTCTTTTCGTTACTTTGAATATCCTGTGGCTGAACCTCAAAGCACATGCTTCCATTGTCATTCTCGGCAGTTTGGATAAACTTATCTTTTAAAAAAATAGTCTGTAGAGGTTTTTCGACAGTTGTAGTGTACGGTCGACCACAGCTGTTGTAATAGACAAATAAGCATAGCCATCCAGTAGCGATGATACTAGCAGCTATGCCAATTACAACAGCTAAATTTGAAATATTTAAATTTCGTATTAAGAAGATGAAGCCTATTTTATCAGAATGTCCATTCAACTTTTGCTATGACTGAAACATATTTGCTAACATTATGCTTGCTCAGTTTCCTTTCTGATAGTTACTCATCAGTCGAAAATCATTTTCTTTCAATACTTTTAGTATTATTACTATTACGGTTTTGATTTTCAAGATAGAATGCATTATGTTTATCTCTTTCCATAGAATGTATTAACTGTTATCATCTGGTTGTTTCTATTTCAACTCTGATGACTTCCACGAAAAAAAATGTTACCAATACTTTCAGTAAAATATATTTTTAATGAAGATACTGTAATGCCACATGCATTACGAATAAATTCATCTTACAAATTATTCACTGGACCAACTGTAGAATTGGCTTATCTAAACTTTTAAAAAACGAATTTCTTACACTTACCAACAATCCACCATTGTGATTTCTCATCAGCAATTAGTAATAACGCTGAAAAGAATGCGTTTTCAGGAAACAAGTTTGTATACTAATGCAAATTAAAATTCCATTTTCTGTTTGGCATGCGAAATTTGTTGTCAAAATTTAAAAAACTAGGAAAAAGCATTGATGAGCTGATGATTTTTAATTGTATCTATTTGCTTATGGATTATGGGCAAAGAATTTGATGATGGAAAAGGCAAAAAATGATTAAGATCAAATCGAAAAGTCATAATCTGTACTTGTTATCGATTCAACAGGAATTCTTAGTCGTGCAGATATCTGAGGAAGAGATAAAAGCGATAAATCAGATACGACAATCTGTAATAAGAATACCTTACTTGAAGGACAAGCTTAAAAGTATTTATGTAAGAATTAGGATTCATATATGAAACAAGTTCGTAACAAAAATCTAGTCTAATTATTATTTTATAATTATCTCTGCTTCAGCGAGCTTTACAAAAATGCCATACAGGTTATTGTGTTAGCCTGGCACAATAATATTATAGCAAGTGGAAGTTTAACCTCTGCAGGAATTGGCTCATCATTGTAAAGCACAACAAATGTCTGCGTACATGTTCGAGTTGAACATTGTGTTTTAAGTATCTAAAAATCTAACATTATTTGAATTGTTTAACAGATCAATTTTTAATCTTATTACAACTTTATGCGATTTACTTTTCAAGAACAATATGTTGACGTATATATATTCAAACAATATTCAAAAGTATAATTCATTTCAATTAAAAACAAGGAAGTATAGTTCTTGCCTCATCATCATTACAATTTAATATGCTGTACTATCGGATTGCCAAATAAATTTCAATTAAAAATATTCTTCAAGATACCGTTTTCGTCAGGAAGCTATCGGTATATCATGTACATGTAGATCTCCTAGTTCGTCTTTTAGAAAATTATGGATGAAATGATAGTAAGTTGTGAAAATCGCGATATTGTTTAATTTCAAGCGGAATTTGTTTGCTAATCATTTAATCATTAATGTTAATGTATTCAAAAGTTTAATTCATTTCATGTTCTGATTCTTCTAGTAAACAATAATTCTATACTTACGTTTTTACTGATTCCTTTATTGTTTCAAAAGTGTATAAGCTAAGAAATTTAAATCACACATTTCCATCCGTTGTGATGTATTTCAGCACATGTTTACATCTGAGTTACTATCACTTACGAACTTCCAAGTAATATGTAAGTTTATGTAAGGATAAATGGCTGCTTACCTGCATGTTGGTGCAGCTGCTTGAATTATAAAATTATCCTTATTTCTGTCATATACATAGGTAATATATTGGATCTAATTTATCATTGTTGCCGACAACAGTACATCCTTTTTCATTGCTGTTTTAAAATTTATAACTACGTATAATTCTCATTAAATGAATCTCTTCTCCATCAAAAAATCACCTCCCTCCAACCATGAAATATACGCTGTGATGATCGTTATTATGATAATGGTATCACAATCTTGTTTGTGTAACTTAAAATATTTTTTACTCTACTTACAATAACTTTTTGAATATATGAGATGAAATCTTTGTTTTTCACTAAAGGCTCATAATTATTAATAGCCTTATCATATCTCGTGATATATTGGGAGCTCCTCAGCTCCAGTATTATCGTTATCATAATTTCTACCTTATTATCATTGTAGTTATGTCATTAACATAAATGTAGAAATTTCTGAATAAGTTTAGTCACAAGCAAGTTTTTTGAGGATAATAACATTATCAATAGCTGAAATCCATCAAATAGGTCAGGGCTTAATATCCTCCTTGGGTCTAGTATAGCTAGCTAGACTTTCATTGATTTCCATTCAATTCATTGCTGCTTATGTGCCATGACGCCATCGTAATGTGCTTCTGCATTATTAAGTGCACATCACACACACATACACACACATGCATGCAAGTATATAACTTTTAATATTAGCCAAATGACTCCAATCTCCAGGACTTCTGTGCACTATAATTATGCACACTTGTTTCAGTTTTTCATCTAGAAACGCATCTTTAATTAGAGTCATAGTTAGATCATCTGCAAATGTTGGATGAAATTAACGTGGCGCTGTATTAATGAGCCATGAAAACACAAAAATGATTCGAACGTCGAATAGGTCAGTTCTTTACGTATGTTACACTTAAGCTTTAACTTTATTGTGCTTTGTTCTAAAGGATAGCAGACCTGAACATCAACACTTTCATTGTTATTATTCTCGTTGTGATGCAAATTAAACGAATGCTTATAGTGTTTTGCCTGTTGCACTTCCATCGCTTCAATGATAACTTCTCGCCATCGCTTTTGTTCATCAACAGTGTTCTCCACTAGTTTCTTATCTTCCGCATTTAATGCTGTAATCAGTAAGAAACATAGTTACAACATCTTTGAAGAGAAATGATTTCGTGATAATGTTCTGTTGAATAATAGATAATGACCTCTTTGCTAGAAGCAGTCACTTTTCAGAACGATCATTTAGTACGGTATTAGTCTCTTCGACCATAATACAGTTGAAATTAACCATGTTTGGGCTTATGAACATTGATTGTAGTACGATATCAAGCCATTGCTACTTTTACTACTTTTAATCCAACCATCAATTAATTAGATTACCGAAGGATTATTTTAACTGATTACAACATGTAGAAAATATTCAAATTTCTTACTGGCTATGATTTGATATTGGTCTTCGTAATGGTTATACAAATGGCGATTATTGCAATAGTAGCATGGAGTTGTGATCGTTATCCATAGCGTACTTTCTGAAAAACGCAGAGCTTATTTAAGCTATACAATTAATTGAAATATGGAAGTAAATGAAGTTAATGCCAGAATTGTATAAACATTTTGCTTAGTATATCATAGGTAAGTAACAAATTGATTTTGCCCACCGTGCCTTTAAACAAGCTTGTAATATACTAACCACCAAATCATATCATTTACTTGATCTATCCGTTATAAACATTAACTAAATGAAAAAAGAATAGGACAACAAGCATTTAAATATAATTAATTTTTTTTAAATATAATTAAGTATATTCCAAACTTATTGTCAAATAAATGCTTCGAAGTTAATTGTTTGTCGGCAATAAAAACCGAAATCTGTTATAGACAGCTTTTGCAATGCATTAAAAACGTCTGAAGTGATCTCAGCTCATTTTCTCATAAATCCTTATTGTTGTCACATTCACTCGTGTATAATTAATTTATATCCAATGCGTATATAAGTAGTACTATGGATTTTATTATATGGAAAAATAAGGCCCTAAGTGTCTTTGTATTTGACCAGCAAAAATTGTCGTTTAGAGAATAGAGAGCCATGAAAAGCAAAAAAATTCTCGTTTAAACTTATGCAGTTTTGTCATTGATGTAGAATTGTAAAGAATGTACTATTTATAAATCTTAAATTTTTTACAAAATAGGAATGCAAATGTTTGAACTTCAAATTTCTAAAAGTTAAGACATCACAATTTTTAATTTGTGTAAGTATTGCATTGTTAAATTACTTTGAAGTTATTGGGATTATTTCTTCTAATCCTAGCAAAAGCTCTTAAGATAAGTTATAATATTGGCATATATCTTCTCTCTTAAATTGCTAATTCTCGTTCATCTAATGAGAAAATATGATAACGATCAGCCGGTCATTATCATATTTTTAATGATTAGCCAAGATATAAGAGTTAATGTTTGACTGAGCAGAAACTTTCTGTGATCAATACTGGGGAGTACTTTATAAAAGGTACTAGAGGATTGTCCATGATAGCTGATTCTCATCACCTTTTACTTGGCGTAAGAAAGTTTAAAAGTGGTAATTTAGGTAAGAAGAAAGAGTAATAGCCTGCTTTTCTGTACCCTTTCTTATCATTTCATCAGCTGTTTTATTGCTCTGTTCTCCACTTTGTTGTTTTCGCTGATCGCTGACCACAACACATTTCGCAAACACAATGCATCCTTTTTTCATTGAAATATTCATATGAAATAAAATATGAATAACGATAACAGTCGTTGCTGCCATAATCTTCATTACCCTGTAAATGTTATGAACACAGTTCTGTTTTTTTTTTTTTTCCAATTTGCAGAATTGAGAAAGATACGTATCCCTACAATACCTTTTTTGATAAAGTAGTTATAGTGCAAAGTATCTCTATATCTTAATCAATTCATAGCTGATATTAATCAATCTTGACCGGCTTTATTAACAACATCTGTAACATGAGACATTTCTCATACAACATACATATATGCACATACATACACACACACACACACACACACAGAGAGAGAGACAAATGTCACAACAAATTTAAATTCATGTGGTTCTTTTGATTTAAAATGATGATATCGCACAGTTGTTGTCACGGTAACTGCTAATATTTGTTTGTGGCATAAGTCTAACTTGCTGATATTTGAAATCATTTTAACCCAATTCCTTGCATTACCCGGGTTTTAAAAATATATGTATGGCTTATCAATACAAACAAATTCGTTCCATTGCTGTTATACCAACTTTGGAATTATTACTTAAACAAAAAATATAAGTTCTGAAGAGAGCAACAATTGTCAGGCTCTTTCAAACAACTCTAGAATGAGCTTCATATCAGATATTATGTGTTAATGAGTGGAAAAGTAACAGATAAACTAATAAAATAAGTTATAAAATGATATTTTTGAAAAAAGTGAATGTTAAATAATTTTTTTGTGTTTGACTATCAATAATAAAGGATTGTAATAAAAGAACAAAGCAGGAAGTGTTAAAACATTATTTATGACATGATTATATCTGGGTGCAGTTAGAGCATTAGAGTAAGTAATACAAAAATAAAATTTCAAAAAATTTGCTTCAACAATATGCTGTTGTAAACCTGGCATTTTAATTGATTTGCAAGTTAATGGTACGAATGGAGAGAGAGTAAATGCGGGGTGTCAAAGTTTAGTGTTCAACAAAGAAAGCCATTTTGGTGAGGGTTGTCATGGTAATTATGTGCAAGTAGCTTTCTGAGTTCAACGATACCTTGAAAGCTTCGCTAGTTATTCAAACAGTGCAGCTTACAACGATTTTTCCTTCTGCTGTTATTGCAACAAATATGCATTTTTGACATCTAGCTACAAAAATTTTCATTTTCTATTTTATTCCACGGCATAAACACATTCAACATTTTCATTAGAACACATTCAACATTTCCTTTGCCTTTGCTAAGTTTATTACAATATTATGATCTTATTGTCAATATCGTTATAGCTTCGACGCTTCTATTATTTCTACTTATTTTTGTCATTGTCACTTGTAATGGTTCATGTTATGCAATTTGATTTTCCCATGAATTATAACAATTTAAAAATTTTTTTTGTTGATTAATTGATAAAGATAAAATCTTAAATAAGTGTACTTCAAGTAAAATATTGCAGACTTTTTGCAAGACGTCAATTCTTCCACTCGTTTTTTTTTCCTTTTTTTCGTACGTTCATTTTGTCTTTATTTCTCTTCTAACATAAACTATATCTATATATGCAGATAAGTTATTGTGTGATACGTTTCATAATTAGCATACTTCAGGAAGCGCCTGTTTTATATAGTTGATCACTTCTTAACTCACTTGAACTATTTAGAAGTAAGCAAGAAAAGATTATATAGGCATTAATTTCAATTTAGATTGAATCAAATTATTTAAATCGAGAAATATTATGCCCTCTTAATTCCTAACACCTGATCAAGAAAAGGGCTTTTTCAACTTGTTCTTCACTTAACTAAATGTAAAATTTAATGTATTGTTCTTATTGTGAATCTGGCATTAGAAAATCAAATGGACCTCAGTGCTTTAGTTGGTCACATTTCAAGCAAATCCGGAGTAGTTCATTTTCATATTTATTTTAGTCAATTTAGTTGTTTCTTTCTCCTGTATTTAAATAGTGAGAAGCTTTAAATTGAAGATGGTCAAGTGAGCATGATAGAGTGCTTTCCTTTCCATGACATCGGCACCTTGAGTATTATTTGAAATTGCGGGTGCTTCTTCCTAATGAAATAGAGTATAGCATTCATTTCTTCCTTTTTTCCACCCTATAATTTGTGTGCTTATATTAATGTTGAGAATGAAATATCACTTTGACGAAACGACTATGGACTCTAATACACTTCCTAGAAGTCTTGATTTTGGAAAATAGGACGTAAAATGGTTATATTTTTTCTTTCGTAGGGAAATTTACTTTATTTTTTTGTAAAGTGTCAAGTTTTAATAGTATGAACTTCTCGATGTCTAGTATTGTCAAACCAATCAGTTCAAAACTTGAAAGCGTTAGAATTGTCAACGGAATTACCATAATCCCAAAGAATCCGGCTAATTCATTTTTAACTTTTGCTTCTCTGGAAATAAATCATGTTTTGAATTATTGAATCATTTGATAAGATCGGTTGAAAAGTGATGATTTCATATTTTTTGAACGGTTTTTTTTACAGATGCCCTATAGGACGGATACGATAAGATGTAAAAATGTAACGAATTTAAGTATTTGCTTAGTTGAACTGATTAGAGTGGAAGTTTCTTTGAAAAGATTGCGCTTATATCATTTCATTATAATTTTTTCCGGTTTCAAACTTATCCAGTTAATGATTATGAACAATGAAGAAAGCAAGTACAATAACGTGAATAGATATCAATAGTTTCTATTCTGAGCTTGCTACTTGTCGATTCAGGAATGGTTCTACCATTTTCAGTATAGGAACTGAAATGAACAGTATAGGGAATTTCTTTACTTTTGGAAGGCAATGCTGAAATTTCATTTTCGATGTGATCTGTGCACGGATATACAAATACTGTGGATAACAGTCGACTAACGTCAAATATCTGTCAGGCACATAATTCTACATCATGTATGATAGCGATGTGGGATGAGATTAGTGATGAATATCGCCATAGTGATAATGATGAATAATGTCCGTAACGATATGGCACACTGAGTTGTAAAGTAATCGGCCTATGCGGTTTGTATTTCAGAGAACTGCCTTCATTTCAGGATAGTGGGTTCAAAGAAAGTGTGCTGTAGTGTGAATGACTAGATATTTGAATAAGTGAAGTGGGACGCCAATGGAGAATGCTACCTTGGTTGCAATGCAAATATAGCAATGGAGTAGTAGTAGTAGTAGTAGTAGTAGTAGTAGTAGTAGTAGTAGTAGTAGTAGTAGTAGTAGTAGTAGTAGTAGTAGTAGTAGTAGTAGTAGTAGTAGTAGTAGTAGTAGTAGTAGTAGTAGTAGTAGTAGTGTAGTAGTAGTAGTAGTAGTGTATAGTAGTAGTATATAGTTAGTATAGTGTAGTGTTAGTGTAGTAGTAGTGTAGTATAGTATAGTGTAGTATGTAGTAGTGAGTGTAGTAGTAGTAGTAGTAGTAGTATAGTATAGTAGTAGTAAGTAGTGTAGTGTATGAGTAGTAGTAGTGTAAGTATAGTAGTGTAGTGTAGTATAAGTGGTTAGTAGTAGAGTAGAGTAGTGTAGTAGTAGTGTAGTATAGGTAGTAGTGTAAGTTGAGTAGTGTAGTATATAGAGTATAGTATAAAGTAGTGTAGTAGAGTATAGTGTAGTAGTATAGTAGTAGTAAGTAGTAGTGTATAGTGAGTAGTAGTAGTAGGTATAGTATGAGTATAGTAGTAGTGAGTAGTGTAGAGTAGTGAGTAGTAGTAGAGTATATAAAGTAGTGTAGTAGTGTGTGAGTAGTTAGTAGTGTAAGTGTAGTATAGCATAGTAGTAGTAGTAGTATGTAGTAGTAGTAGTAGTAGTAGTAGTAGTGAGTAGTGTAGTAGTGAGTAGTAGTAGTAGTAGTAGTAGTAGTAGTAGTAGTAGTAGTAGTAGTAGTAGTAGTAGTAGTAGTAGTAGTAGTAGTAGTAGTAGTAGTAGTAGTAGTAGTAGTAGTAGTAGTAGTAGTAGTAGTAGTAGTAACTAATAATAAAAGAAGCAATTGCAATTACAAAACATGAGAAGGCATTTCGAGAAGCGAGAAGTGTACGAGTTTCAACGGTAATGAAGTTAGCATATTCTTGATACTAAGAGTGAGCATCCAGTCATAGAGACACAACGTAGCAGAAGTAGATAGCTAGCTGGCCAGCTAGCTAAGGAGGCAAACAAAGGTGCTGCATTTGCTTCGTACACTGAATGCAACGGAAGCTTTCTAGCTAAAATTTCATTTCCTAGTGTAAAGTTTTATCTAGTAAATTGTGTGCAATGCTCAAAAAGGCTTTCATAGATTCTTACTCAACCATATCATATCACTCACAATTACTTCGAAACTTTCTTTTCTAACTATTTCTTTCTACATTTGCTCTGAAAATACCTTTATCACTTTACTTTTTAGCTTTGAATTATCCTTGAATACTACTTTACACTATTTTTTATGTCGAAATTTATTCATAAAAAGATATGAGTTATGAAGTTAAATTCATTTCTTAGTATATATACATCATTATATATTTGTATTGTGTCTTCTCCAATATTCTAGCTTTTATTCATCCGAAAAGACTAACGCACTTTTATCGCTGCAACGAGTTGTACTATAGGAAAGAAACAGAATGAAAAAAAAAGAAAAAAAGAATGGTGTCATATTGTTAACTGCTTTAATAATTAACTCGAAAATCCAAAAGAGGAATCACTGTTATTAAAAAAATTAAAATCACTCGCATGACGATTTCATGCATATAGAAATAACTGCTTATAACTATTTACTGTTCCATTACCTAGCTGATATTATCCTATGTTTGCTATCCCTTTTCCAAATAAGTTTGCACATTTGGTCGGTACTGTCAGAAATCATTTCTTTGTTATAAATAAATAACAAATAAGTTGCATTTAAAAAACTATGTTTACATCAAATGAACACTTTGTAGTTCCATTTTCTTGCCCTTTTTCTTTTCACATAGTCCCACCACTTTATTTACATTCTTTCTTGTCATGCAATTAAATCTGACTTTTTCATTTTTCTCGAAGATCCTATC